AATATTTAGTCTAATATATAGTGTTATTTGGTTAATATTAATGTTTATGATTGACATTACATTTGAAGTTAAGTTACGAATAAATTTGTTTTGAAGTTTATATAATGTTGTTTTTTAAAGTTTAAATAGTACTTCTTATGTTTATAGAATTGTTAGTTGTTAACTTTAATTTTTTATGTTTCATTATGTATTATATTTCTTTCATACAAGGCTTTGGTTTTTCATTAATCATGATATGTTTAGTGTTGTCACATATAGTTCAATGACAAATCTTATATGGTTGATAGATGAGTTTCACAATATTATTTTGAAGGAGAACAATATGGTTTGTAGAAGCTAAATACACAAATTTAATAAAATGATTGAAAATATAGTGAGTTTAATTGAGTATAAATTAGTATTTTTAGAACCGATAACCCGATTAGTATCCGAAACTATTTCGGGTTCAACCGGATCTTGGACATGTTACTAAACCCGAACCGAACCCGACTAAACCCGAACCTAATCCGGCCCAAATTTTTATAATATCCGAATGAGGCTGAAATTCATGAACCCGAAAATCCGAAACCCGAATGAACCCGAACCGAAATCCGATTGGGACCCCGATTGCCCAGCCCTAGTTTTTTCTATTCTGATTTAAATAATTGACTTATAACGATTAACAACTCCCCCCCCCCTAATAATTAACTAGATTAAAAATAAATTGTTCTACGTTTCTTACTTTGGGTAAGAGATACATTCTAAAAAGCGTAAAATATGATAACAGTGCACAAAAGCATTAATATCTTTTATTGAGATTTAAGAAGGAAAAAAGGTCAAATCCAAAAAAAACCGTAACAAAGCAAAGCACAGTAAAACCGAAGAAAATATATTATATAAAACCCTAATAAAAATCATTACTTGTAAGTAATAAAAAAAACCTAAGCCGGTGATGGAGCAGAAGCAATAGATCCAGCTTTGGTGGCACAATGTAGCTTAACAACGTAGTCAAAGAAAGGGTTATGGTAAGCTCCAAAGATAGTCTTATCACAGTCTCTATCCATCTTCTGTATGGAAGCGCAACATTCCGTTCCAATAAGGGGTTTGCGAGTGTAAAAAGCCTTAGCAATATCCACCAAACAAGTGCGTACCTCCTTGCAATCAGACAAGCATTTGATGACTACCGGTGGTGGATGGAAGGGAATTGGGTGGAAGGGGTAATTGTAGCCCGTGGAGATTGACGGGAATGCCTTTCCGGCAGCACGTGGAAACGGCCAATGTGGTTTAGGGTGGTAGTAAGGGTAGAAGGGGTGATTCCAAAATTTTTCACTATGCAATGATTGGTCTGATAACAAGTCACTTGCTGTGACTTGAGATGTGACACAGCATGAGAAGAAAATCACAGCAACCAGAACTGCTAGATTCTTCATTTTGAAGAAATATGAGAAATGTAAATTGTGTTCGGGTTGTTTTCGAGATGAAAATGATGTGTTTATATAGGGGCTTCTAATTAATTAGGGTTTTAGATTGTAATTTTATATGATGATAATTTCGAATGATGTATGAATGTATCTTATTGAAATATTGTCTGATATATTTGATTTAGTTTTTGTAACGACTTGATGTTTGTTGTGATTTTGTGATCCTTTTCGATACATTTTTTTTATTAACACATACTTTTTATTAATCTGATATATCGTCGATTTTCCAATATATGATTTAGTTTTGGAATATTCCGATAGTATAGTAAATCACGTCATACATTTGTGCGAGCCTACGAGTTAAAAGGGACCTATCGAAGGATAGCGTATCTAAAGAGATTTTATTCGTTCGCATAATTAAGTTTAGATTTTGGAGTGAACTTAACTCATGACATGTATCAAAAAATTATGATTAATCTTATTCTTTTAATTGGGATTCTAAGAGCATCCGCATCGCGTAGACCGTGTAGGGGGTTTTTAATTTTTTTTAATTTTATTTTTACTTTTTCTGATTAAATAAAAATTAAAAATACATCAATTGCAGGCTGTCACGTGTTGTGAGGCCCGCAAACCAGTTGAAAACACGTATCTTATTCCGCAGACGGAGGCTACGTTTGTTCCCTCTTTTGTGGGTCCCATCCCACTTTTTCCCCCTAAAACCCATGCTTGGAGACAGCGTTGAGGATGCTCTTAGCTTCGAACAAGATACGGATTATGATTTTTTTTAGATTTTAATTAAGGAAAGCAAAGAACTGTTGCTCAAATAAAAGTTATAAGATCATGTTTATTGGCATCCCTTAAAAGAGTTTGTTAGCTTAATTGGACTTTAAAAATAAAGATTAAATCAACAATAAACAAGGGAGTGACTTAATTAATTAAGCCACCGAAGGGGTGTTGTTTAACTGCCACGTGTCGAGACTTTACAGGAGAGAGGAGCGGTGTGTGGGGGTGTTTCGACAAAAGCTCTCCTTTTCTCCTATCTCTTCCGGTTCTGATTCTCTCTCTGTTCTTTGGCGATTCTTGGTAGTCGACAACGTCTGTACTCGACGGTGCATGTACTCGAAGCGGCGTCGGACGACCTCTCTCTCTATCTTCGGTTCTCTGAGGCGAAGAACAACGGTGACCAGGGCCGGCCCTGAGATTTTAGGGGGCTTGTGGCGATTTTTATGTAAAAAAAAATTTAGAGCCTAAAAAAATTTTTTGGGGAAATATACTCATGTAACTTTCTTCAAAAATTTTGGGGGCCTGAAGCAAATGTTTCACTAAGCATGCCCCAGGGCCGGCCCTGACGGTGACTGCTTCGGCTGAGGCGAATCGAAACGTAAATCTTTGCATGTTTCAATCTTTGAAGTTTGCATGTCTCAGATTCTTTAGCGTTTCATTTTTCTCTAAATCCTTTGATTTTTTAAGATTTGTGTATTTAGGTGGATTGATCTAGAGGCATGATCCAAGTAGATTTGTTCCTTATTCAATGTCAATTTGTAATATAAATCGTCAAATTTATTTTTAAATTTTTTCTTTCTGTTTTGGCTTAAGTGGATTGATGAAGCGGATGTCCTTGTGGTTGATTGTGTCAGTGTGTAATAAAGTATATTTTGATCCATTTCATCATTGGTTTAGTTGATAAGATTTTTTTTTAATCTGAGGATTAGTTTATATTTTAATTGTAATTATTTGAATATTGTGTAGTCAATTTTGTTATGATAAGTTTATCTTTCGTTGTTGTGTGTAGATGGTTGATCAAGAGGCATCACACCATTTCTTTAGAGCAAGGGCGTACGATTTGATAATAAGGTAAAGCCTATCTCTCTACTCTGTTGTGATAAAGCAAGGTTGTGGTTGTATTAAATTGATTCTTAGTTATGTAATAAATAGCTTTGGTTGTTGTTCGATAGAGGTTATGTAATAAATAGCTTTGGTTGTTGAATTGAATTGATGCTTAGCTTTGCTTTGTTACGGTTAGATAGAAATGAATTGTGTGGTGAGTTGATTGTGTTTAGATATATGTCTAGTCGGACAGCTTGGTTGTTATCAATGCGTAGATAGGTATGGAATGATTAATTTAGTGAGATCCCAACATATCCTCATAATCTATTCCGACGACGATTCAGTATGAACAAGTCATTGTTCATGCGTATTGTTGATCGCCTCTCCAACGACATTGAATACTTTCGTCAAAAGCAAGACGCATCTGGCAGGATGGGTCTCTCTGCACTTCAAAAGTGTACTGCAGCTATTCATGTGTTAGCATATGGTTCAGCGCTTGATGCGGTCGACGAATACCTCAGGCTCGGTGCAAGCACTGTTTGGTTATGTGTGAAAAATTTTGTGGAAGCAATAATAGATTTGTTCGAAGATGAGTACCTGAGAAGACCAATACCGGATGATCTTCAGCGTCTACTTCATATTGGAGAGCTTCTGGGATTTCCGGGGATGATAGGAAGCATCAATTGTGTGCACTGCGAGTGGAAGAATTGTCCCATCGCTTGGAAATGCCAATATTCTCGTGGTTCAAGAAAACCCAAAATCGTTTTGGAGGCGGTTGCTTCATATGATCTCTGGATAGGGCATGCGTTTTTCGAACCTCCAGGTACCTTAAATGATATCAATATTCTTGATCGCTCACATATTTTTGATGACATAACAAATGGTCACGCTCTGCAAGTGAATTTCTCGGTGAACGGAAATCCTTATTCAATGGCTTACTATCTCATCGATGGTATTTATCCAAAATGGACTACTTTTATCTAATCTATTTCACTAGCACAAGGTCCGGAAGCGGCTTTATTTGCTCAATGTTAAGAAGCTGCCAGAAAAGATGTCAAGCGTGCTTTCGGAGTCTTGCAAGCTCGATTTGCATTGTTAAAAATCATGCACTCTGTTGGGATAAATTCAATATCGGGATGATTATGAGAGCATGTATCATTCTCCATAATATGATAGTAGAAGATGAACGAGATCAAGGCACCCAATACGATGTTTTGAATTTTCATCAAGGAGAAGGCAGCGAAAATTCACATGTCGATCTTAGTTTTTCAACAGATACCCCTACAAATATCGCCAATCAGATGGGTGTTCGAGTAAGAATTCATGATAAAAGCGCATCAACAACTAAAATGTGATTTGGTCGAATATATATGGCAGAAATTTAGACGTGATCAAAAGAACAACTGAAACAAAGCCGCTTTCAAATAATTATAGTTTATTTGTGTAATATTTTTTTTATGTTTTAATGTTTTTATTTTGAAATCTATATTTCAAATAATATTTTTAACTTTGTGTTTTTAGATAAAATTATGTTTAAGTTTTTTTAAGAACCCTACTTAAGATACAACCAGTAAACTAATAAAATTAAGGATCACTTAACAAAATCCCTTAACTACAATTAAATACTAAAAAATTCAGTAAACCACCTAAGTGGAGAACACCAATAAACATGCTATAAGAACCTTTTTTAACCGAAAAATATAAAAAAGTAAAATATCAAATCATGAGTTACAAACCCCAGATAAGAGATCGAGATTAATCATGCGCTAGAACTTGAAATATAAAATACAAATAGGACCATAGTAAAGAGGTACAAATATGTGTGTCCAAATGTATAAAATTTGTCAACTATAACATAAATTAATATCGACAATTTGGTTATAGTGTAATGGAAATCAAGCGAGGACAGCTTAGTGGTCTTGAGCGAGCTTCTGTCCCAATACGGACCCGGGTTCGAATCCCGCTGATCACTGGGGGTAAAATTTAAAATCTGGGTTCTTTCGGCGTCCGGTGACCCAAGTGTACTCCAGCCGATAACGTAGACTGATACGGACACTCGCCGCTAGTTTGGATCCACCTTGTTGGATGCTAGGATACACCGGGTTATTCCAAAAAAAAAAATATCAACCAAACCGAGAACCGGTTTATTTTACTTTGTTGGACCAACAATAGAGAACAAAATGTAATTTATTAGTAGAACTAATCTGAATTATGGTCTATATGCCAGCGACTCTCCATAAACCATGATTATCGAAACAAGTGTAAATATAAATGTATATTCTAATTTGAAATATATAAAAGTAGATTTAAAGTATACAACCTTTAAAGAGAAGTTGTACAGAATGAAAAGAATAATGTGTTGATTATATGCCTTAATTTGCTTAGGTAAACAAAATTACTAGGAACAATTTCAAGTTTTCAACTCATCTATATGTGTCTATATAATGTTAAGCAAAACTATTCTAACACATTTTTATTCTTTTTCTCTATAAGTAAAATTTCTATTTGTCTACACCACCCGAACTTCCTTAACTGATAAGAATATGTTGTTACTACGGATTTTGTAAGATTAGTCGGTTGATCTCGGTCGCCGGATCTCCATGATTATCAAAAAAAAATTGCTATTTTTCTTTTATATGGTAAAAACATTTCTCTACTTTATATTTTCTAGTTATATATTACTATTTTAGAGAAATAAATTGAAGTATTTCACTTCTAGTATAGAGTTTTTCAATTTGTTGCAAAATTTTGTGAATGCTTTTTTTTATTGGGAGATACAAGTAGCAAAATAGGTGATTTTATGGGATATAGACATATTTTAATAATTTTAAATGTTGTCAAAATAAATAAATAGTTATATCACTTTATAAGATTAATTTAAAATTCTGATTCACTAGAGACCAAAGTCATGAATTTTTGGGACGATCTCGTGGCACGCAAAACTCAGTGGAGAAAATCACGAGTGGCAACACACTTTGACAGATTCAAGGGAAATGTTGGATGAGAATCATTATAGGCAAGTACACATCTCTCGTTTATTATTAGTGCTTTTGGATTTCGTACACATAATAAAATTAGAACATCTTAATCTCACAAAAGTATGCACGATGTGAATTATATAGTAAATCGTTTACCTCTTTCAAGAGATCCCGCACTGAATCTCACAACATAAGAATTGGTAGGCAGCCGTAATAAGAAATGTTACCAATGCAAACTATGCATTTTTATTTTTATTTTTGGATATGTGGTTGAAAACTTCATGCTAATACTGAAATGAAAAAAGAAGAAGGAAATATGAAATAGAATCTAAATTTATAAGCCCAATGTTTAATCAGATCAGGAGATATTACAACGTTTGGCTTCACGACACCATAGGAGTTGGATCGGCACTTACTACAATTTCATATGCCATCAGATATTGTGGGTCTAAAGAGATAGGAGATAATAAATGCATGATTGCATATAAGCTTCATGTTTATTGGAAGATTTGTTGTTTTGGTGGTTTGAACATGAGTTGCATGAACCGCATAATGATGCATGCCCAACATTCTAGTGACCACGATATCCTAGTGGAAACTCGTATTAGTGACATTCATTTTTTTGTGACATGCATTGTAATTTTATTAACATGTTTGAAAACCTTTTTATGACCTCGGTATAGGAAGAATAATGTTCTTAAAGAGAGTGTACTTGAAGTTGTTTATAGGTCAGAACTGTTGATGTTGTATAGTAGAAGAATGACGCATTTATTTATAAGCAACTGCAACTTTGATGAAGTCGAGATAGTTAAACCACATATTCAAGTTCTAGTGTCATTAGTCTCAAACTAGTTGGTTTGAAGGTTTAAAAAAAAAAAACAGCTATGTGAAAATCATATGATACCGCGAAAATCATATGATACCGAAGATCATATGATACACAATGGTATTCTGGAAAACATATTGAGATATGAAATAAACTTGTAATAGAAAATTTCAAAAGTTAGGAAAATGGAAAGCAAAGATCGCGTCCCATGGGTAAGGGGAACAGTCGCATCTGTAAGTCAAAGGATCCTCCAAATCAGACGAAAGGTTTCGTAGAACAATCAACCAAATTGAAAGTACAAAGGAAACGAGGGACAGGTCCCACACACAACTTATATAAGTGGATAGAAACCTTATTGTTTAATATCTTTACCATTAACTTCGCATTACTATTACTGATTTATATATAACCTTATCATTTCAAACTTGGGACTTGTGAGTTAACAAGTGGAAGTAATAATATTACTATGTTGCGTTGCGTCAATTCCTTCCATATATACTCCCAGCGCAGGTTATATATATTATTCATATTACGTGGCATGATTCTAATTTTTAAATCTTTGTTAAACTAGCTTATGAAGTTATCATTGTGCCAAGATATCTAGTATTGTGCCAATATATCTAGTATTGTTGCTGCAAGCCTGAAATTATGGATTCAAATACACATGATACATAGCTTTACGATGTAACTTCCATTTTTTTCGCGTCTTTACATAGTCATGATGTAAAATCGATAATAACCATATACATGAATGAATATAAAGATTACTCTTGGAATAGTTAAGACATACAAAAAAGTTCCATCACCTATAACTTCCGTTGACAAATATTTGGTCACACTCACACAGGTACAAGTTAGAAACTTCGTTTTGGTCGTTTACAACTTATAACTTCCATAAAAAAAATTAAAAACTTGTGTAGAGTCAAGTCTGATAAGAAGAAAGAAAGGCACAAAGAGATCTGTTGAGGGGATTTTGAGAGTGTTTGAGGACTTTGACAAGATGTCTGGCCTAAAGATCAGTCTAGAGAAGTCAACGTTGTTCATGGCTGGCCTCTCGGATCAAAGGAAAGAAGAAATCCTCTGCCATTTTCCTTTTGCTGTGGGAAAACTCCCTGTTCGATACCTGGGTCTTCCCTTGCTCGTAAAAAACATGACGGTAACCGACTTTTTGCCCTTAGTGGAGAAGATTCGTAAAAGAATTGGTACCTGGACAGGACGGTTCCTATCCTATGCAGGCCGTCTCCAGCTAATAAACTCAGTTATAATGAGTCTTGTTAACTTCTGGATGGCTGCATTTCGTTTACCGAATGGTTGTATTACTGAGATTGAAAGACTGTGCTCAGCTTTTTTATGGTCGGGTGTTGAGTTGAAAGGTCGAAAGGCAAAGATTGCGTGGAAGGAAGTGTGTAAAACAAAGCAAGAAGGGGGTCTAGGTGTCCGTTCTTTAAAGGAAATGAATGTTGTTTGTGTGCTCAAACTAATCTGGAGAATCTTGTCGGCAGATTCACATTGGGTCAGCTGGATAAAGATGTATTTGATTCGTAAGGGATCAATCTGGTCAGTGAAGGAAACTTCGCAGCTAGGCTCTTGGGTTTGGCGGAAGATTTTAAAGTACAGAGAGAAAGCAAAGCAATTGTACAAAGTGGAGGTTAGGAATGGTAAGAGCGCTTCTTTCTGGTATGACAAATGGTCTCCTTTAGGTTGTTTAAAGGAGTTACAAGGATGTGGGGGCTGTATTGAAATGGGAATTAAAGAGAATGCTAAAGTGGTGGATTGCTTTTCTCATAGGAGAAGAAATCATCGTTATGTTATTTTAAATAAGATTGAGGTGGAAATAGAAAGGTTTAAGAGTCAATGGAAGCCGGAGGAAGAAGATATGTACCTCTGGAGTGATGGAAGAGATAAGTATAAGGGGAAGTTCTTAACATCAACAACTTGGCAAACTATTAGAGTAAAATATCAGGAGATTGGCTGGCACAAGGCGATTTGGTTCAAGCATGCAACTCCCAAGTTTGCGTTTGTAACTTGGGTAGCATTGAAAGATAGACTGTCCACTGGTTGCAGAATGATACATTGGAATGGCAACATTGACACTTCCTGTGTTTTTTGTAATGAGCCTATGGAGACTGTGGAGCATCTATTCTTTGCTTGCTCTTTTTCGCAGCAGGTTTGGAAGTCTCTGGTTGAAGGTGTGCTCGGGTGTAGGTACACTACAGTCTGGTCTGATATATTGAGTATTATTATGGATGATAAGCAAGATTGCATTTATCTCTTCACAGTGAGGTACTTGTTTCAGGCTACTATCCATAGCATTTGGAGAGAACGAAATAGACGGAGACATGGAGAGAAAGCTTCTCCACCTGATTTGTTAGCCAAGCTTCTCGATAAAACTATGAGAAACAGATTCTCTATTATTCAGAAAGTGAGGGACAAAAAGCTTGAGGTTGGTTTACAATTCTGGTTTTCAACAAGATAATCGGAGCTTGGATGTTGGATGTTGGTTGTGTTGACCCAGTAGGAGTGAGGGCTGGGACCCCAGTAGGAGTGAGAGCTGGGTTTGAAAAGCCTAGTAGGAGTGAGAGCTAGGTACTCAGTAGGAGTGAGAGCTGAGTTGGAGTGTTCATATGCAGTGTTTTGGAGGTTGCTTGGCAGAGAAGTTAACGAAAGAGTTGAGTTTTAAAGCTGTTTTACTTATGATTATTTGAAACATTTGTAAAGGTCTTTTTTTTTGGGTTATAAATTTAACATTTAGATTCAAAAAAAAAAAAAAAGATAAGAAGAAAGAAAGAATGTGATGGCCATAGACTAGTGAAAAACACGGAAAATATATTTGAATATAATATAATGGAAAGACGCGCATTCAACCATATAATGTCAACCTGTATACGCACAACTGTCTATCTCCACCTTACAAATTAAAAAAAACATTTATTAAAATACTTTTCCAACAGTATTCTTCCACGAACATTCTCTTGTATATATAACACTCATGTCTTCTTGGATCTTCTCCTAAGTTTTACAACTAAGTTCTCCTTTTTCCCCTCAAACAATAAACTTCCACCTTTCTTCACGTAATGGGAAACTACGTTTCTTCAGCTCTAAGCAAAACTTCTTCTTCATCTTCTTCCTCCCCGGCGGCGAGAGTGATTCTCCCTGACGGTGAAGTCCGTCATATCCACGAGCCGACTAAAGCCGCCGAGCTAATGATGGAGATTCCAAGCTTCTTCCTCGTCGACGCAAAATCTTTAAAAATCGGTCGGAAGTTTAATCCGTTAGCCGCCGATGATGATCTTCAAATAAAAGGATGCCATGTGTACATCGCTTTTCCTATGACGCGTGCCACGTCAGCAGCTAACGCTTCGGATATGGCAAGAATATTCGTAGCCGCCAAGAAACAGCACCGCCAGACTAAATCTTCCGGTGTCGGAACATCTGTGAAAAGCTGTCATAACGGGAAGGTGTCGCCGGCAGAAGGAGAAGATGACGTCAAGATGATATCAGCGGGATCAAAGCTGAACTTGGAAGACATAGAAGAGTTTTCGGCGGCGGAGTTTATGCATAGAATCTCTGTTTCCAAATCTAAGAAGCCGAAGTTGGAAACTATAGTTGAAGAATCTTTGTCTTAACGAACACATAAAAATCAAATATAAATGGAAATTTGATTTTTTTTTTTTTGTTCAAATGTTATTAATTTATTTTTTGTTCATTATCCTCTATGCGCAAGTGGTTTCTCTTTGTGGTATTGATGAACAGAAAGAGACATTAGTTGAGAATGAACATGTGATCGCTTCATTTTTTGGTCCATTAATATGAAATATATTATTTTTAGCTACTCAAATTGTTAAATCACGCAATCACTTTTCGAATTTTGTTAACAGAGCTACAGTAGAACCTACATAAATTAATACTCGATAAATTAATAATCTCTCTAAATTAATAAATTTTGTTGGTCCCAACTTGGACCGATTCAAAATTTAACAGAAATAGATAAAATAATAAAATAATAATTTTTTAAAAAGTTCTATGTAAAATATGGTCTCATTAAAACTATAAATTAATAATTTATATTTATTTATATTTTATATAAGTAAAAACCTATTATCATATTGTTTGTTTTATATTTACAATTGAATTATCTTTATATTTTCTTGATATTTAATATAGTGTTCATGAGATTTAGTAATATTATATATAACATCATATTTAAATTCTATGAAATATATATTATATACACCAAATAATAAAAGAAATATAATAGAAATGTCAAAATTTCAGAAAAATGATAATAAATATCTATACACTAAAATATAATATTTTTCTTATTACAGAATAAATATATCTTAAAATCAAAAAATCTAAATAAAGAAATTTTGGTAAATTAATATATCTATAAATTAAGAAAGTTCAAAGTCCCGACATTATTAATTTATAGAGGTTTAACTAGAACCGATCCTGAGATTCACATATGAAGAGCCGGTCCTGAGATTCACATATTCATTTAAGACTGCAGTTGAAAAGAAAAAAAATAATGGATTCTATATAATTTTTTAAAAAAAATATTAGCTATTTTTAAAAGTTATATTTCGTGTGAAATTTGAGACCGGAAACGGATGCTTAATTTGCTTGATCTTAAGACCGCCTCTGATCATATGAACATTTAAACTTCAATTCCACTTACGCCTGAGAATGTTTTCATTGACAAATGGTCTGATATATCATGTGAACGTTGATGGTATCTTAAAACACGATCTTCAGGGAAGATATTGAGTCATATTTTAAAGAATTAAAAAGTATAAACTGTTTCTATTGATAAACATAGATAATATACGAATCTGTGACTTGATATAAGCATAGTAGTCATTTTCACGTAGAGATGTGTAATCACCAATCAGTCGTGTTGGTCATGTCAGTTAATATATTTTGGTTGAAATATCCATTTATGCCAATACTAATATATTCATTTCGATGAAAGAACTGCGAATTCTCATTAAATTAAATAAATAAATTTCTCTGTGTAAAAAATATTAAACTAATTAGTGAAATCATTTATAATCATTTATACAATTTAATTTTACAAAACGTAATCACATGTATCATTTATAAAAATAATCTAGCCATTAAACAAATATAAAATATTTTTAAAAATATATGTAGCCATTAATCTAATAATTTGATTAAAAACAAAATTTAGGATTATTTAGCTAATTCACATATTAGCTATTAATATATCATTTATAAATTTAATTTCACTACAAGAAAACACGGCGATTCTGACGGAAAAATTCGTCGGAATGTCGTCGGAATATAGGTATTCCGAGGATATACCGAGGAAACCGGTCGTCGGAAAATTTTCGTCGGAAATTCCAGTTTCCTCGGAATTTCCTCGGAAAATTCTGAGGAAATACCGAGAACCACAATTCCGAGGACATTCCGAGAAACCATTTCGTCAGACGCTTCCTCGGAATTCCCTCGGATTTTCCCGATGAAAACTTCCGAGGGATAGATGTTATCGGAAAATTCCGACGACAGGATTCGTCGGAATTTTCCGAGGACATCACGTCGTCGGAATTTTCCGACAAACGATTTCCTCGGAAAATTCCGAGGAACTGGGCTTCCTCGGAAATTTTCGAGGAACTGGTGTCCTCGGAAATTTCCGAGGAAGCCCAGTTCCTCAGAATATTCCGAGGACTCAATCTCCTCGGAAAATTCCGAGGAAGCCCAGTTCCTCGGAATTTTCCAAAATTTATATTTTTTTTTTTAATTATAAATTATTGTTTTTTAATTAAAATTCGAAAATATAAAATAAAATTGTAAACTGAAAATATATTAGATAATAGAGTAGTTCAAATAAAAAAAAACATTCAGAGTTTTTGAAAAAAAAAAACTACGGGAATTGCTCGTTCGGGTACATCCGCTTCATCATCTCCATCATGGCCTCGTTCTGCTTTCTCGATGCCTCCCACCCCTTCTCTTGTTCCGCC